CATCTGTACCCCACCCCCCTGGCTGGTGATGGCAACCGGGAGGTCATTCCTTACAGGGGGACACTTGCTAATTAGCACACATCAGTAATTAGGTCCACCAGCATGCACCACAACCTGGCATGACCTCACAGCAAGCTTCCCTTTGCCGGACTGGGAGATTCCCTGACCCTCAGCTAGGGACAGTCCCTCCAAGCACACGGTTGGACCCAGCTGGAGCGTGCCTGCATCCACGTGGGATGACTGAGCGGAGAGGCGGGAGGGTGGCAGGCAGGGAGAAGGAGATGGCATCTGCCAGGCTTAAGCAGAGGGTGTGTGGGAGCTCTCTGGGATGCACCCTGACAATTCAGAATTGATGGTGACAGTCACAACTCCCCCAGGACAGGTGACACTCAATTCCATGGGTGTTTTCACATGTTGTGGGGAGCAGAGGGGCTCCTTGGATTACACTGCTGAGAACAGAGCCGATGGGAAGGGAGACAAAATGGAAGGCTGCTGTGTAATGGAGGGGCGAGGGTGCCTGCGATGGCACCCCTCTATATTGGCTTACAGCTCCAAAGGTCACACATATTCCGTGACAGTCCTGCCTTGCTGCTCTCCCAGCTGTCCCACTCTTCCCAGCCAGCTGAGCCAGCAGCTCTGCAACCTCCAGCCTCCCCCCTCTTATGGGTGGGCATGGGGGTGGGGGCATCTCCCTCCCTGCAGGGACACCAGTGATGGAATGAACCTGCTCAGGACAGGGGCACCGTGCAGAGGAAGGGCTGAGAGGGCTCCCAGGGCGTCCTCACCTGCCCTGCAAGGTCAAGAGGGCTCCCCGGGCCAACCCTGTAACTAATGTGCAGGTTTCTCTAATTACACTGCTAATGAGGGACTGGGACAAGCTGGATCCATGGGTATGAAAGGCAAACTGCTGAGCTGGAGGTTTCCAGAATGGGGTTGTGGGTGCCAGGGTATGGCTGGGCTGTCAGAGATCCTTCAAGGAGTTTGGTGGCCACTGAAATATTTTGGAGGTGAGGTTGTCTCACAGCTGAGCCAAGGACTGCAGGCAAGGCAGCATCCCTGTGCCCTGCCCTGGGGCAGCACTGGGGTGGCATCTGCACCGTGATGGTGCTGTGAAGGGCACAGGGGTGTGTGCTGGGGGCTGACCCGAGAACTGTCAGCCCAAGGGGTGGCTGTTCCTCATGGTGAGGTGGAACAGACCACGGAGCATTGAGGTGAGGCTGTGAGGCACACCAGGACCTGCTGTCTGAGGTGAGTCCTGCTCGAGAGCTGGGTTTGAGAGGGGCTGGGAAAACACAAGGGTTAGTGGTTGTTTCCTCAGGAGCTGAGAGGGAGAAAGGCAGTGGGAACCTGAGAAACAACTGCTTCCTCCCCGAAAGGGAGCAGGGAGGTGGCTGCTTGGGCATGGGATGTATGAAGGGCAGGGTTGGATGCCCTGAGGGCTGGAACTGAGGCTGGGGGCTGTGTCCTCTGGCTGTGAACAGCAGAGTGAGGGTTAGAGCCCACCAACTGCCTGTGTAACCCCAATTGTCCTCCTAAACTGTGTCCCAGGTTGAAGTGACAGCAAACGCCACCAACAGGGACCAGAGCACCTTGGAGAGGAGTTTGGGATGTTGCTGGACCAGTGAGCTCCAGGATGGAGACAGGAGCAGGCTGTGGGGGTGCATGCTGGGGTGCCAGCCCTGTGTTCCTGGTGCTCCTTTCCCAGGCATGTGGCAGTGTTGTGCTGGCTGTGCCAGGGGACAATCCAGCAGCTGTGGGGTGACAGTCAGGCTGCAGCAGGACGTGTTGCTGTGACCCTCAGTTACTCTCCCACATGGCAAGTGAGTCGTGGTCCCCAGCCACTGGCACCAGTATGGAGCAAGGCAGGTGAGGGCACAGCTCGTGTTCTATGAGACCCACTCCTTCCAGAATCCCATGGTGGGTGGTGGGTGATGTCCAGCATGCTCTGTGTCTTGAGGGGACAGGATCTGGGTTAGTGGTGAGGACTGTACAGCCCTGTCCCTGCCCCATGGGCCCCCTGTGCTCCCCACTGGCTCCATGCTGGAGATGGGCTGGCTGGGTAGGGAGATGTTCAAGCCTGTTTATGGAATGTCTGACCCAGGTTTAGGAGCTGCAGTGAGGATGCTTGGAAAACAGGGGTTCTGCCCTACAGGGATGTATACCAGGGGTTTGTCCAGCTGAACATAGGACCTCTGTGCTGGTGGAGCAAGTCCAGCTGTAAAAGGCAGATCTGTGGGGAGGGTGTACCCTGGTCCTGCCTCACCAGGAGAGAGGGTGTGGCTTCAGGTGGTTGGGCCTGGAAAGCTGGGGATGCAGACAGAGCTGCAGGACATGGAGGACAGCTTGAGGACCTTGGCAGGGGGTGGATGTGGGCATGAAGCACTGGGTCACCAGCAGCAGGGACTCCAGCATCCCCTGCATGATCAGAGGACATCTGGCCTTGGCTCAGGACAGGGGCTGGGTAGGGGTTCATGGGAGAGCTACCCCAGTGAACAGGGACCTCAGACTTAGGACTGAGCCCTCTGTGCTTGGAAAGTGAGGCTGCTTGTAGTCACAAGAGCTTTTTATACCTTGTGAGCATCTTGGGGCAGGGTTTCCTCTTCTGGAGGGACATGTGTGTGGCTGGGCTCAGCCCACACCATGCCAAGGGCCACAGGGACCTGCTCACCCATCCAACATGCCTGAGACTGCCAAGGGATGGAAACTCCAACGCTCAGGATGAGTGAAGGCTGTGGAGCTTGAGGGATACCGTGCCCACATGGCTGTGTCCTGTACCCATCAGGAAAGATGCCAGCTCCAGCCACCCCCAGAAGGCTCATCCCCAGCCTTGAGAGGTCCTGAGCTTCCTTGCCAAGGCTGTTTCATTGGGCCATGATCTCTGCTTGGCAGGGGGACAGGGCATTGATGTTGAGCAGGTGGGGGACCCAGAGCAGGCAGGGCTCAATGCTCAGCCCACACAGATGGCCCTGACAGCAGATGGGCTAAGGCAGATGCAGGAAACCCCGCCACTGGGTTCACTAGGGCATGGCCTCTAAGCCCAGCATGTGCATGGACTTCTTGGGAAGCTGCAAAGGAAGACACACTATCCGAGGCTTTCCATGGTCTGCTCTCTGCGCTGTTATCTGCATCCCAGGGACCTGGTGGTGCTGGAGACCCCAGTGCCCGTGGCATTACCTGTGATCTCGTGCTGCCTCAGCTCGTTGTATCTGTAGGAGTGCTCCAGGGGCTTGATGGAGGAGTGGTAGATCTTCCTCAGCCGCTGCAGTACTCCTGGGGGGGGGAACACATGGGCAGGTGAAAGGCAAACCCCATGGCCCAGGGGGAGTCCCTCCCTGGGGCATTCCCTGCAGAAGGGACATTCCTGAGGGTCCTGAGGGTGGCTCAGCTGTGGATCAAGAGACTTGGCTCACAGCTGAAATCTTGGCCAAGCTGATCCCAGTCACACATTTTGCCCAGAGAAGCTGTGGCTGCCCCATCCCTGGAAGTGTCCAAGGCCAGGATGGATAGGCCTTGGAGCAACCTGGGCTACTGAAAGGTATCCCTGACCATGGCAAGGATTTGGAATGGGATGCTCTTCAAGGTCTCTCCCAACCCAAATCATTTTAAGATTCAACGATTTTGATGCCTGCTAATGTTTCCTGCTGGGCACTGTCCCCATCTGCTGCCAGCAGCTGATGGAAGGAACATCCCTTCTAAGTGCTGTTTAGCACTCAACACCCACGATCCCAAAAACCCCTCCACCAATGTGCCAGGGCTCCCTTAAACTGGTCACTGGAAAAAAAGAAGGACCTTTTTCTACAGTATCTCTTATCACTGTCTTACCAGCCCAGACCACTCACGGGGCCTGCAGAAGAAATCCTTAGAGTAGCAAAACCCCAAAAATGATTGGAATAAAAATCCCAGCCCTTTGTTATGAGCTGCCCCAGGTTTCTCTGGGCAGAGATGTGTCTGATTCGCCAACTGCATCTTGCAGCCTCTCTACCCTCCTAATTCTTGCACACCCATGGGACTGTCTTTAAAATAGCTAAAATATGCTAACCCAAGAGCAGCCAAAGGGCAACTATTGAAGATGTGGCATTACTGGACCTGGAAGAAGGAAGGTTAAAATCAAAACACTCTAGGGAAGGAAAACCCCCTCCGTGCTCTTAGTGCAGGGTGGTGAGGAGCCTGTCCTGCAGGGACGGTGTGGGCTGAAGGAGCAGGGTGTGCATGGCTCCCTCACCTGAGACATCATCGGCAGGTTTTTCCTCGTTCAGCTTGAGGGTGTTCTCCAAGTGGGACCGGTCACGCTTGGTGGGCTCGCTGGCATCTTCAACCTCTTCTGGAGGGGAAAAGTGAGAGACCTGTTA